AGCATTGTTTAGAGTGTAAGGTCAAAATTTACTGGTATGTCCTATCCTTGTCCACATAATACCAGATAGACACACACACATGCATACGCAAGCATGCACACAGTATTTAAAAAGTTAGTAAAAGTTTTTTCTTTCTCTGGAAAGAGGTTAATACCTTTTTTTCAAAAAGAATGCATTAATTTGATCACAAATGACAGTAAATACATTTATAATCACATTTTTTTCAAAGAAATGCTTTTGAATTTTCTATTCATCAAAGAATATGGTTGTATCTCATCACAAAAATATTAAGCAATACAACATTGTTGATTATAACTCTTGAACCCCCAAATCAAAATTAAGGTTTTTGATGAAAACAAAACTTCAATGGGAACCAAAAGGTTCAAGGTCCAAAAGACAGTTTCAGTGCAAACTGTTCAAAGGGCTTTAAACGAATCCAGACGATGAATAATGGTCTTATCAAATGAAACGATCGTTCATTTAATAAAATAAGATAACAAAGTTTAAGTTATATAAGCTCAAATGCTCTTCTGTGATGCGAGTTCGTGACTCTCCTGTTCAAACATCAAAATGAAAAAAAAAAAATGTCGTGTCATTTGGTTCATTCAACGAACGAAATTAATGAATTGACTCGAATTGCAAATATTCGTTCATTTAGATGAACGAGTTTGAACAGGAGAGTCACGAACATGGGGGTGAGTAAATTATCAGCAAATGTTTTTTTTAAAAGTGAACTACTCCTTAAATGCATCACTCCATTGTTATGTTAATGCATTGCTGTCATAGTGATAGATAAATATGTGAAGCTCTTTCTCCATTTCAAGATAAGGGTTTGCAGGCCAAAAGAGGAAAGCTGCAGATGATCTTTGGCAGCGTTCTCCCACACACACACACACAGCCTGCTGGTGGCTCTGCTGCTCGAAACCTGACTGATGGTTTCAGGAAGACCCCGGGACCCTGCCCACCCCATCATCTTCAGCTATAAATATCACACTGCTCTTTCCGAAGTGTGGGGACTTTAATAGACTGCAAAGAGCTTCATCGACTGATAAAATCTGCACTTGACAATGATAAGATGGCCAGCTTTTACTGGCTGAAGAATATTGGGATATTTCTAGCTTTAGCCTTTGCTCTCTCCAGCAGAAATATATATATATATATATATATTAGGACTGTGCAAAAATTAATTGCGATTAATCGCATCCAAAATAAAAGCCTGTGTTTACATAATATATTTGTGTGTGCTGTATATAATTATTTTGTATATATAAATACACACACATGCATGTATATATTTAAGAAAATGTGTTATTCATATATAAAATATTTATATTTATATAATATAGATAATGTAATTATATATATATATATGTATATATATATACAGAATTTAAGCGCAAATAATTCTTAAATAAATACATGCATGCATAGGTATTTATATATACAATATAATTATATACAGCACACACAAATATATTATGTAAACACAGACTTTTATTTTGGATGCGATTAATCGCAATTAATTTTTGCACAGCCCTAATATATATATATATATATATATATATACTTCATTCAAATGGCTTCTTCAATAAATTTCAGTGTAATTTCATACAACCTCCATATCATTCACAGCTTAACAGCTTTCTTTCCCAATGCAAATGATTTGCCCTTTCTTCAACTCTACTGGTTATAACTAAAATGCAAAAGGTAGTTTTGCTGCAGAAATTGCCAAACAGCCACTGGATCAAAAGTTTTTTTTTTTAAGTCACGCTGTGCATAAAGTCACATAGTGTACATGTCCTTGAGCACCAATAATAGGTTAAGAACATATTAAATTAGAGGCTTGTGTGTAATGCGCTACCATTGACACAGTTATTGTTGTTAGATTACACCTTGTTCTCGCCGTTGAACGTTATTAAACAGCAGATGCATGCTAATCATGTCACTATGCCAAACCATTCAGAGAATTACGGACAGCCAGCCGACAGACAAAAGAAATCCTGAGGTAATTTCATGAATGAAGACTTTAAACAACTGCTGAAGCTAAACCAATAATGCAGTTACGAGTGTCTTACATAACATTACATAAATGTTCATAATACACGTCAACAAAAATGTTACGGCCGTGAGCTTAGTAAGGTTTTGGCAACAAAGTGTTTAAAAAAAAAACGTTTTGGCAACACTCAAATGAATAATTCCTATATGCTTTTTTATTAAATTATTTGAATGCTATTCGTAAGCATTGAAAATGCACACATATTGTCGAGAAAATCTTAGTTGCATGCAATGGCTTTGCCAGCCTCCACTCACCTACAGTTATCCGTACAGTCTTGTGTCCAGCTTGAATCATAACTACATACTCACAAACAGTTTGACCTCTTTAAGCACAGGGTTTTATTTTTCCATCCTAACCACAGTATTTTGCATCAGGGACTTGACATTTAAGTTAGATTTGAAATGTCTTCACTTTCCAGATTTGTGTCTGATCTTAAGTGTGCATCTTTAGTCTATCTCAAGTCAAAACATTCAATTTCAGGCCAGCATTCATTTTTCTCTTATCATGCATTGTTTATCGTAGTCTATTCTTTGACCTTGTGATCTGTTTCCATGCACGCTATCTACCTGCTAAATCTAACCTTGTTTTAGTAATGGTTTAAACCCCTTTGGTTTCAATGGATCCATCCACAAAAGCCATTGTAACAACCAGGGTTTGACATTCACTGTTTTTGCTGTTTTACACTGTTTTTTTTTATTTATTTCACTGGCCACAATTTTGGCATCGATACCATGGAAGAAAAGTGTCTGGGGTATATCTATATACTGTATATAAAAGAGATATTTTAAATATTATCTTATAATTTGGCAGCCGGTATATTAGGCTGCTGTCACTTTAAGACCTGACATATGGATCCATACCATTACACATGCATTTTCTTTCTTAATCTCAACTGTTTACGTTCACTTAAAACATAACGGGCTTTTTGAAATTATTTCGTGTGTATTTGACTGCACAAATGTATAAATGTATAAAATTATGCACAATACATGCATTCCCACACCGATATTCAAGCCCTGTAACACCAACAATACTCATCTGGAGCAAATAAAAACGCGTGAGTGAGGGGAGGCGGGCTTGTGTGTAACTCGCTGTCGGAGAGATGAGAGATCAGGGGTGTATCGTGTATCTATTCTGTGGAAAATGAGTATTAAGCCGAGCGTTTCATATATTTCAGTATTGATATGTATCGAAATATTACAATTTTTGACAACACTATGCCACACTATTTCAAATGCCTTTATAAAAGACTACAAAATAAAAAAGAATATATTATACATAAAATTCAACCAGCCAAAGTTGATAGTAGGCGTGACTGCGTTACATGCCACTGCTGAAATACATGAGTGTGCCCTGTTTACAAGACAAAATGCTTACTTCAAAACATATGAATGGTATATGATATGTTTCAAGTATTAAGTATTATCAGCCATTATCTAAGTATCACATTTTCCTGTTTCATGTTTCAAAATTAAATATTTGGTTTTGGTTGCTGAATTGTAGCGTTTCTTAATCCAGCTTCATTTAATTGAATCATTCAATGAAAATATGGCCATCACGTGTGTACAGTGCCTCAAACAGAAATAATCCTACATAATAGGTCAAAAACAACTGTGTTTACCAATCCATTTGTTTATACTCATACAGGTTGTTTTCTTTTCCTTGACAATGGCATCCAGTCTATCCAGAGATATTTTGGGGTTTGTTTCTGTTTTGGATCCATTATTGACAGAGTGATGCATAATACTCCTTCCACCAGTGTCGTTTCTCTGGTTGCACAATTTGTTTATGTTTATCACGTGTATGGGAAATGGACAGTTGACTTGAGGATGACTCTATTTCTGTCCATTTAGAAACAACTTAGAAAAACAAAAAGAGTGTAACCTCCAATCAAAAGGTTAGATAGATAAACCACACAACACGGGGAGCAAATAAGATGTCAAATACATTGTTTTCTAACACATTATTCAAGACACGTGGAACAATCAAAAGCATTAGCACAACACAACATGTAGTATTCAACCTCTAGATTGTGATATATTGAACAACCAAATTGTCTCAATAATAATTAATAAACCTACGTAACAGAACATATTTTTTTCCCCAAAATTACGCGAATAAAGTCGAAATATTGCGACTTTAATCTTGATATATTTCGACTTTATTTGGTTGTGCAATAAATGCCAATCTAGAGGTTGAGTATTGCTTTGTAATGTCTTGTTGTGGTGCTGTAATGCAGATGATTGTTTAGAGATCACGTCTCATTGTTAGAAAACAATGTATTTGACATCTTAATTGCTCCCCTTGTTGTGTGGTTTATCTTAGCCTTTATCTGAACACTTTTTGTTTTTCTAAGTTGTTTCTAAATGGACATAAAGTCATCCTCAACGTCTTCTCACAGTCACACACACATAACTTCTACGGAAGACTGTATTCAAGTAATTTTGACTTAATTCTCAAAATATTGCGACTTTATTCCCGTAATGTTTCGAATTTAATCTCGAAATTGTATATATATATATATTTATTTAGGCTACTCCTTAGCTTACCTTAGCCCAGGCCAAAGTAATCGGTTCTCTCCACAGCCAAACTTGAAAAGGTTTGAGGATATTTTCCAGAACACTGGCTCCCTCTGCTGACGGACAGCGACAAGAAAAAGACTTTGTACAGCTTTCTTTTCTATTATTTTCATATTTCTTTTGATTAATCGTTCAAAAATATTTGACAGAATTTTTTTCTAAAGTTTACCTGGACCGTTTGCCACCATAGCCTTAGTCTTAAACAAACCCTCTAAACATCAGGTAAAGTTTCATAAATCTAATTTAGTCGTATAATTGATTTTCAAATTTCCGGGTTTCCCCATAAGCATAGTTGGGTTTTGTGTGTAAAACAGAAAAGATTCGTGAATTGGGCGAAATTGAAGCGGAACTGTTTTCGAGCGAGCTCACACACCACAGGGAAGACTTTCGGAGGTGGACGTTTGTAACGAGATGCCAAATCCCATGTAGCTAATGTTCATTCTCTTATTTAGTAAATAAACGGTACAATTACACCACGTAATTGGTATTGACATGGAAGAGACCGAGAAAACTGAGTGTATAGATTGGGGTGGACATGTTTGTGGAGAAATAACAGCCAACAACGAAACATGGGATGATAAATTAGTAAAAAATGCTCATGATGGACTACCTCAGCCGTCTTCAGACTGTGACAGATGCTCATTGATATCAGGAGACTGTCTCTATTATCATTATGGCTGTGATGGCAAGGACGACAGAGGCTGGGGTTGTGGATACAGGACTATTCAGACCATGCCTTCATGGCTGTGTTTTAATCAACCTCAGAGTGTGAGCCACAAGCGCAGACACCCACCTAGTCTTCCTGAAATACAACAAACTTTGGTGGAAATAGGGGACAAACCACATTCATTCTTGGGATCCAGGGAGTGGATAGGGACATTTGAGGCAAGTCTAGTTCTTGACCAGCTCTATGATGTTCCCTGCCGCATAGTGCATGTGCGGAACGGAAAGGAGCTCTATCAAACAATTGAGGATCTTCACAACCACTTCCTTACCCGTGGGTCACCTGTTATGATGGGAGGAGACAGGGATAATTCCTCTAAGGGGATCTTAGGTGTGTGCACTGGTAAACAGGAGAGTTTTCTGCTTGTTATGGACCCCCACTACTTTGGCTGTCCCTTAGATAAAAACTCTTTGCAAAGAAAAGGTTGGGTTTCATGGAAACCAGTTGCTTCTATGGATCAGTGTTCTTTCTATAATCTTTGCCTGCCTCTTAGTGGCAAGAAGTGACTGTTTCTTGTTAGATTGTTTAAAAAAACAAATTCACATCGTCTGTCTGTTGTAACCTGTATGTGAGGATTTTTTTTTACAGATGTCATAGTCATACTGTGGCTGACTATTAGTAATTTTTCTGTTTGACCTCATCACGTGAATTAAATAACTAAATAAAAATGGCATGACTTCCACGATCATTTCTTTCCAGCATTATCATCATTAACCTCAAAGATGATTTGAATAGCAAACCATGATAACGGACTGATAAAAGAACCATATGGGACACTACATTTTATTCCAGTATTTTTTTCTCACAGCTGAAACTCTAATAACAGCGTCTTGATGTTTGTCTCACTGTTTTGCTTACATTTACAGTCATTTATTGTTTTTAAATGATCCAAAATCTGACTTTCACATGAAGGCTATAAAGCATGTTATAAAACATCCTAACAAACTCCTTCTAAAGAAAAAGATCTAAACATAAATGAAGCCCAGTTGCCATGGTTACCTAAATGTTTAGCACGTAGATATTGTTAATGTAAAAAAAGCAGTTTGAACTACTTTGTCCCCAAGGAATAGATAATAAGTTCATCATTATCATATATATATTTTAATGTTGTAATGTGTACATATAACGGTGTCTGCAAGTTTTAAAAAAGTATTACAATTTTTAATTCTCCCTAACATCATAAAGTCTCCCTAAATTCATAAAGTCATGGCATTAAATGATGCATGCATTGCAAAAATGAAGTATTTTTGTCCTGTTTTCCAATACAAATATCTAAACAAATTTAAAACAAGACACATTTACTTGAGATGTAAAATGAATTCTTGAAAAATTGAACAAAATTAAGTGTGTTTATGCTTAAAACAAGAACAAATATCGGTCCACGCCTTTAAATTAAGCTGATTTTTCTGAGCCAATTGGCAGATTTTTTTTGTTTTGTTTTAGTCATAAACTTAATTTTAATCACAGAAAACAAGACTTACAGTAATTTTACTTATAGTAATTTTACATCTGATGTATCTTGATTTAGGAATCTTTAAATATTTGTACTGGAAATAAAGACAGAAATACTTTTTTTTGCAGTGTGATCAGAAGGTGCAGTAAAATATATTTCCATATTGTGGAAGTTTTGAGTAGAACAATTGTAAAATGAATTAGCAATATCTGTTGGAGGTTTTATTTTCCAAACTCTGAAGTGTTAATACAACTCATTGTGTTTCTTCTCAGACATTTAGAGAACATATTGATGTTTTGTCTTCCCTTCAATTCACTTCTTAAATATTTTTTACTTGGTCTTAAAAAGGTCTTAAGGTTACCTTCATAAAACCTGCAGAAACCCTATATGATACCTTGAAATAATAATGATTCAACCAGTGGCTGAAGGCCTTCATTCAGTGAACCCTTACAAGTCTGGCACACAGTCATTGTAAAAGATCTGGAAGTTCTTGTCCACCTCCATTTTGCCCTTGAGAAACTTCTCCAGATTCTTGATGGGAACCTCCACTATGTGGTTGTTCACACGATCATTGAGACCGTAGGCACCAAACGCCGGGAACTTGTACCGCTCTGAGTAGGGGGCGTTGTGGTCGTAATTCGTGCAGCAATAGGCCGTCCACACGAACTCGGGGATGGCGACACGATCTTGGTTCTCGCGTCGAATCATATTACCTGCTGTTGTGACCCCAGTGATCAGATAAGCGTTTCCGTGGCAATAGTTGTTGAGGCGTTTGCGGGTAACCTCTACCTGTGTGCTCCAGGGACCAATACTGAACTCTCTTATCAGAGGAACCACATTGGTCAAGGTGTAGGTGGCGGCCTTGTCCAGCGGGTCTACCTGGTGCTCATCTGGGTTCAGTTGGCCACGTTCATACTGGACCACGTCGGCGTAGTCTTCTAACACAGCCTGCGTGTCTTCAAAGTTTTTGTGCATGAAGGTGGACTGGGGGAACGGCTCCATGTTACTGCTTCCTTTATCAGTTGCCAGCTGTGAAAAATAACAAACACAGGTGAGGAAGATTTAAGATATGTAATACCTCCAGTCCTACTCACCCCGCTCTGCGCAGGACTCGAACCGGCACGTCAGGCGCTAACAAGTCTCTAATGGCGCTTTTCCATTGCATGGTATGACCCAGGGGTGCGTTTCCCATACAACTATGTAGTTAGCTGCTTGACTGCTGTGGTGGAAAATTTTAAACTGAATATTAAGCTAACCATGTTTTGACATTTGACCTCATTTAACCAGCTGAGTATCTGAGACAATGTACTAAGGCATTCTGTACTTCGGATGAATGTATGTGTGTCAAACACCTGACTGAGTATAAATAACAAATATGGGAAATGGAACTAGACAGATGACTAAGTTAGAAACATTAAAACAAAGTCTCCTCTACCCAGTAACAAAACAGTCTACCTATGAAGAACCAATGAAATTAATGTCATTATGGCATGCCTCCATATTGTATAAAAACTGTTGTATCAGTGTTTTCGGGGGGATTCTCAATGGAATTTGTCTGAGATCCACCGGCCTTGTTTTTACTTGGGAAGTTCTCTGAGTATTGCTCGAGAACTCTCCTGGCCGTAATTAAAAGCATTGAAAGGACATTTGCTGGAGTCTGTCTGTTATTTAAGCTGCGCAGCAAGAACAAGTAAGTTAGAATTATTAGAACCCGGCGGACGTCGACTGGAGATGCGCTAGGGTAGAGAGTAGGTTTAATTGACTCAGCGGACGTCGATGTGTAGATGCGCTGGTAAAAGTAAGACTTGGCCAACTAGAGTGAGTATTATTGTAGAGTAGTCAGGTTCAGGGAAAAAAATCCATTACACTACCATAGTATGACGCATCGTTGGAGAAATCAACTAGCTAGTCGCGACTATTTCCCGAAACCCATTGTCACAAAGTATCGTTCAACCACGTTGGTTTCGCATGTGGTGGAATAATAACTACTTTTAATGAAACGCTAGATTTTTTATATATAAATTACGGACATGTCATCTGAGAACTATTTCTAATTGTTCTCAGTTATTTTGCTTTATTACCATACTTAATATTTGGCTCGTTCTTACATAGTATGCACGTTCGCACTAACCTGGCCCTAGCCGGATGAATGTCGTTCCGCTTAGCTCCGCCTAGCTTCACTCACATCCATCTGGAACCTCTTCCATTGAGAGTGATTTCTCCAACCAACTTTATGGCTTAGCCAATCAGGACGCAGGGCGGGAGTTTCATAGATGTGTCGTAGTGGAGAAGCGACCGTGAGACTGTTTTGATTCAGACAACAATGGCGGCTCGCATCGAGGAAGCAAGCGTCAACATTGATGCTGCTATTTTTATCCGTGTTGTCCAATCTACCTAATATTGTTTCATTAAAAGAACATCAGAGAACGGCTCTGAAGGCTTTTGTTGGTGGAAACGATGTTTTCGCCCTTCTCCCGACCGGATTTGGCAAGCGTAGCTTTTTCCTGCGTCGTTCTCATCAGCGTCGCGGGTTGGCTTGAAATAGCACGTCGATAAAGATGACAGACAAGTGGCTTATCCAATCATATGCAAGGATTTTTGATAAGGCCCAGCCTTCTGAAACGCCATTTCAATGGATCGGTTCCAGATGGATGAGTGGAGCTAGGCGGAGCGAAATTCATCTGGCTAGGGCCAGGTTACGTTCGCACATGCGCATTCTTCAAAATCTGTACTTTAAATCTTTTGAAAAACCAAAAGACGTAAATTACATTTGTATGTATTCTGAATAAAAGGCACCGGTTTTACTGGATGTCAGATAGCTTATTTTGCTCAAGATAAGGATTTATTACGTCCAAATGTGTTGCGATATAGAAACGATGCTTCTACCCACAGGTCGAGAGCTGTCGTTCAAACCACACAACTTCGCGATGCTGTTTGTGAATGTTCGCTGGAACGTTTGTTTCGGGAAACACCGACTCATTGAACTATGCTGATAACGACGGAACTTGCGACCATAGTTGGCTAACGGCGCTTTCGGGAAACGCACCCCAGCTCAGCACACTTTACTTTGGCTTGGTTTGCTTTTCCACTGTAGTTTAGTATAGCTTCAAAGTGGGTGGGATTATAGACTAATCGCGCCAAATATTGCAAATCGAACAACGCTGGTAGTGACGATTCTTTCTGAAGAATCGGTGATCTGCGGTGTTTACACGTCACATTTTAGTATCGTACGGCTCGCTTGGAACCTGAACCAAGGTTATACTTATAAAGTACTAGGTACTGTATAGTCTCTGACGTCACGCCGACAGATTGTTGGCTGAACGTCTGATGTATGAAAAGTAAGCCGTCCCATCCAGTGGATAAGTGCCATAACATCAGTCACTAGTGCGCCTCTTGAGATCAGGGGAGTGAGGTTTCCATGCACAGCTCTCACTATCTGGCCCTAAACCTCTCTCCTTTCCAGGTCACGGCGCTAATGTAACCCCTTCAGTCCTACTCGCTCCACTCCGAGTGGGATTCGAACCGGCATGGGAGACCGGTGTGCTAACAAGGACAATAAAGGCCGCAGTCTCTAGTGATTCAAGATTAAAGGCTGATTTATACTTCTGCGTCAGACCTACGGCGGAGCCTTTGCGCTATAGACTGCACGTTGGTTTTCATTTACACTTCTGCGTCGTTGTCCGCATTGACGCGCAATCACACATGCAGGGGGAGCATGTGAAACCCTGGGAGTGGATCTATCAGACCAATAACAGCGGTACGCGAAGAATTGGCGCGTTGTTACATTTTTGGAGAGGTGCATGTCAGGGTACCCTGAAGGGTATGCACGCTACACACAGCCTACGGCGTAGCTACGGCGTGAGTTCGACGCAGAAGTATGAATTGGGGACCCAATTAAGAGACCCAGAGGCATGAGGATAAAAAAGGACTAAACCCCCTTGCCAAATGTTATGATTACAATAAACTAATATTCAGATCATATTAAAAAAAAATGAGATGGGAGGAAATTTTGTTTTTCGATGCTTTCGCGTTCTTTCGGTAAAATTTCGCGTCCCCCTGCAAACATTTTGAGTTCTTTGTGAGGGAATGCAAAACTTTTCTTGAGAGAATGCTAATGTTTTTACATTTTCCCTCCAAACTCATATTTTTCTATCACAGTGTTCCTTTAGGGGCTCCGTTCATTCACACATTTCAGAAGATAAACTTTTTGTTTTAAAACAGATTTAATATATAATGTATACTGCTTTTTATATTAACATATTTTAAATATAATTTATTCCTGTGATCAAAGCTGAATTTTCAGCATCATTACATGATCATTGAATATTTCTAATACCACGTATGCTGATTTGCTGCTCAAGAAACATTTTTTGAAACTATTATCATACTGAAAACAGTTGTGCTGATTAAAATTTTCATATGTGAAATATGATGCAGGAAAGTCCTAAAGACAGAATTGTTTGTTTGTTAATATGTAGAAAGTCTTACTGTCACCTATGATAAGTTTCAAAGGTGTTCATACAGAGGTTACTGAATATGTAATTCTTAGCACACACCTGTGGTTCAAACATCCAGGGGACGTCAACCCGCTTCTCCCCATCGGACTTCTTGAAGATGTATGCTGAATAGATGGGGATGTGTTTTTGGGGGTTGTAGAAGGTGATGAAGCGAGGCTCGTCCACAAACCGTTGGCAGATCTTTTTTAGAGAAGTGCTGAGGTAACCTCGTGGCGGAGTGCCCATGTACAGAAAATCCTTACAGCGCTCGACATGGGAGAAGTCCTCCACCACTCCAGCTTGTGATCTTAATATCAAACACGTCAGTAGGATCAACAAGGATCCAAACCAGAACCAGCAACTGACCAAGAGCTTCATGATGTTTTAAAGAGCGTAAAATGTTGTCTTTCTACTCTGAAATGTTCTTTGGTCAGATGTAAGTAGGCGAGTAACAAAGCAAAGAGTTGAAGACAAAAAACGTTGCGGCTTTTCCCGTGACTGGCTTATTCGCTGTCTCCAATCGACTGTCTCGTTTAAAATCGACTCTTCACTGGTAGGTGGAGAATTAAACAAGAGCCATTGAAAATGGCAAGATCGAGTACAAAGTACATGCAAAACCATGTTCGGAGAGTCTGATCTGTCAAACTTGAATGTAAAGCATATTGATAAGACAAACTTCAGTGTGCCGTTATCGTCTACATGCAAATCAGGAATGTCAATGTAAATTTGCTCACTGCTGGTCTGATGTTCACTAGCTATTGCTATAGTCGCCTTCACTGTGTCTAAATAAGACGCGATGAAAAAAGAATAATTCAATTTAAATGACATCTACTTTTAGACAAACGTTTGATGCAATGAAACACTTAATCTACGCAAGCACAATAAATGTGAAAACAATCAACTGTACTCAGGGATGTTCTTCATTCAGTAGGCCTATACACATCAGCAAACACCATCTAACAATAACAATACAGCAGACTTTAACTGTATGAGTACACTCTAAAAAATGCTGGGTTGTTTTAACCCAACTTTGGGTCAAATATGGACTAACCCAGCCGTTGGGTTAAATTTTTACATTACATTTTTAACCCAACATTTCGGGTTTGTCCATATTTGACCCAAAATTGGGTTAAAACAACCCAGCATTTTTTAGAGTGTACTCACCTGTGAATTGTGTAAAAAATCCAACAATTTGAGCATTTAAAAACACATATTCGGTTTTCCAGCATTTCTTTTGCATATTTGAACCCTTTACAGTGACTGTATGATTTAGATTTTGATCCATCTTTTCACACTGAATACAATGGAGGGACTGAAACACAACTATTAAAAATAGAGCTAACATTCACTAATGCTCCAGATAGAAACACTTTTCACAGTTAAAACCTTTTTGAAATTGGTAATTGTACTTTTTTGTCTTCCATGCAGGAAACATCTTCTCTTGCTTCCGAAGTGCAGAATAAAATGGATTTCTAAACAAAATAAGAAAAATTTGGAGATCTTCATCCTGTTCAAATGTTTTCGTGCCCTTAATGCATCGTGTTTTATTTCTGGAGCATCAGTGAATCTTTGATCCTTTTTTTAATAGTCGTGCTTGAGTCTCTAAATTGTCCTCAGTGTGAAAAGATGGGTCTCAAAATCATACAGTCACTGCTGGAAAAGGTTCAAATATGCAAAAGATGCTGGAAAACTGAAATTGTTTGGGCCTGGGGGATTTTTTTGAAGAACATGGGACAACATTTTAAAAAAGCTTTATGAATTCTTAACACACACTCTGCTCTACAGTGTGACAGGATAAGAATGGAAATGATCCACAAAGAGTATGACGAAATCTGATATGTGACTTTATTCACATCCCAGGTAGAGTCAGCAGGGAAGGTAACCTAAATGTTTTAACATTCTCCTTAAGTTATCAAAATGTTATTTCTGAATGTTTTTTTTAAACATTCGAAACATTCATTTTAACGTATTAAGAAAGTCGTTAAATTTTTATTATTTTATTCTCTTTTATTCTCCTTTTATGACGTGAACATTAAAGGAACATTCCATTCTATCATTTTGAAAATGTACGTTCAAAACATCCATTTTTTAACCCCCAAACCGTATTCTGGACAAATGTGGGCAAAATAGTTTTTATTTATTTTTAAAAAATACTTCCCTTGATGAGTGGTACAAGACTTGGCTACTTTTCCTAAGTTTGCCTCCTGAACACACACATTTTTTTTTTACTCAATTGTACAATGTTAAGTGGGTGAAAAAAAACCCGTCTTAATCTTGTATTTGGGTAAAAAATGGGCACCCATAGAAATGAATGGGAAAAACTGTAATTAGAGCATTCGAAAATAAGCCAAAATAAGACATCAGGTGACAGCAAAGTCACTTCATCTTTAGGTTTTAGCTCTAAGAACTTATTATGATATTTTAATTTAGTTAAAAATAAAATAAAAATAAATAAAAAACATAAAAATAAGTATAATTTACATAGAAAATATGGTAATTTTTGATGTAAGTAAATTCAAAATACCCCCAAAATAAAAAATAAAAAAACACCATAAAAGGATAGATAAAACTTTATCGAAGACTGTGATATAACATTTATAATAAATAAAAAGAGTAAAAAAAAAGTCCTCTGTGCCCACATTTGTCCACAATTACATTAAGGGCTATAAAGTGAATACGTTTTTTAAAGGTGCCAGTAAGCGATTTATGACACTGTTGATACTGTATCTGTATTTGAAATCACCAAAATAAACACACCCCTACCTAAAAGGATAGCTCCGCCCCCAAATTCACAAACCCGCTATGCAAACAGGCACCTCCCCCTAATGAGTGCATATACGCCCCTTAATGCTGATTGGCTACAAGTATGTTAATAACATGATTAGGATGTTCCAAGAATGATTTTCTAAGAAAGTTTGCTTAACATTATGAGAACGTATATTAAATATGAATAACATTATAAGAATGTTCCAAATATTGTAAGTACATAAGTACACACATGCATGTATATATTAAAGAAAAATGTGTTATAACAAATATACATACAATATATACATGCACATGTTTCTTAAAATATACATGCATGTGTGTGTATTTTACAAAATAATTATGCGCAGTACACACACGTATTATGCAAACACAAACTTTTATTTTGAATGCGATTAATCGTGATTAATTGTTGCCCACTACTAGTTCCATAAAGATTATTTTAAAACTTGTTGTCCTAATATTTTTACTGGCTGACTAATTTAATTTAATTTAATTTAATTTATAACTATAGTACAAAATATTACAACACTTAGAGCACATAGGTTTCAATTATTAAACCTTTATCTGTCTTGGCTCAGCTCTCTTAGCAGAACTCCCTATAAGCCACATTCACTAGACATGTTTCTTCATAGTTAATTTTTCATTATTTGTTTATTTATATCATTATCTTGCCTGGTTCTTGCATTTACTACACGAGATGCACACACAGAGTTCAATTCGCTTTCATTCACTTCCCATTGGTATGCGTATTTTCTGAGACGCAGTCCTTAAAAAAGATGCTGACGCTTTTGTCCATGTCAGTCTGACTTCTCAGAAAGGTCTCTAAAGCCTTTAAAGGCACTTCTGTCACACCGTGTCCCACTATCTCATTCAAAGCATATGCTGCGTAAGTGGGGAACATGTACCGTACGTCATAGGGAGAGTTTCGATCAAAGCGGGGGCAGCAATAAGCCGACCACAAGAGCTTCGGGACAGCCATGCGCTCCTCACTCTCTCTTCGGATGGTCATCCCCGAAACGGTCACCCCGGTCACTACAAAGGCAGACCCACGGCAGAAGTTATTCAGGCGCCGCCGTACCGTGTCAATATATGTGGTCCATGGGCCCTCCAAAAAGTCTGTGATCTGAGGTACCACATTTGTGAGTGTATAGGTGGCTGCTTTGTCTTGGTTGTCGGCCTGGTGCTGGTCAGGGTTGAGTGAGCCTCGCACGAACTCCACTGCATCGACATAGTCTGCTAACACGGCCTGGCTCTCCTCAAGCAGTTGGTCCGTTTCACCACTAGAGGGCAAGACTCTCATGTTCCCGCTTTCGTCAGCAGAAACCAGCTGTGGAAGGCGAAAGAACAAGAAATCAGAAACCATAGAAACTCATATTGAAAGAATATCAAACGTATTTAAACAGAGTAATTTGGTTTTATGTTATGAGCAGTGCTGAGTAGATTACGTACAAATTATAGTCGGTTATTGATTCCAAATTACATAACATAATCCATTACATTACAAAGGTATTGACTACTTTTAGATTACTTTTGACCTAACTTGTTTATCACATTGATTTGAATAAGATATTCTTGTACCGTATTTATATAGAAATACAAGAGAAAGAAAATATATCTCATTCTTTATCAATAACATGAAGTGCATTATTAGGTCAGGGTTTTCCTGACAGAGGCTCATAAGTTTAATGAAAATCATTAATTAGCTATTAAATCATGCGTTTTATTTTAAATTAAAGTAAATTACTATTTATTTAAATTTAAACAATCAAAATTAAAAACACTTACTAAAAATGATAAAAAAAGATACATATTTTGTTTACCTGCATGTCATGTGACCATTAATCAAACGTCAGATAACCATGAAATATTTATTTATTTATTTTATTGACTTACCTTATTATTTAACTTAAAATTTCAGGGGTTGCTTCAGGTAAATATATTAGGCCAAGAGGTTCAGACCTCAAAAAGGATGCAGGCATCCCTGGATTTCATGCAAAAATGAAATGACATCGGGTTGTGCATTTTAATGTGAATGTTTGAATATTCTTAAGAACTTTCGCAATAATATAGGAAAACTTCTGGTGAAATGAACTGCACTGACTGACAGCTTCTACGATTATAAATAATTGCTTTCTTAAAATTTATTTGCGAGAAGTTATTGTTTTTCATATAACTTTGCAGGTAGCCTACTTCATACTTCACCATGACAAAATATATTTATAAACCTAGGGTTTTGAAATATTTTATATTTATTCTAAAGCAAAACGTGTAAAAAATATTACAGGAAATTGCAAATATGAGCCAAAAAAAAAAAAAGCCTCTCTGCTGCCATCTACTTGTTATAGTGGCAATTGTTATTGTTCTTATTCCAACATCCACATTGGCTTTGGCTTTATTGCAATCAATAAAACTGGTTTATTGTAAGTTCTAAATGTAATAACTGCATTACAATATAAATACAACTCTAAAAAAAATCAACCATTGGTGGTTTTGTGTCGATGTACAGCAAGAATGACAGGTAATGCCCAAGGTGGCTTATTGAAAACCAGGAAGTAACCGTGCATATGATCAATTCATTTATTTTTTAAATAAAATAATGAGATAAAATGCTATACCTGCGGCTCATACATCCAGGGTGTGTCCATCCTCCTCTGTCCATCTGACTTTTTAAAGGTGTACGCTGAATAAAGTGCCAGCCGGCGACTGCTGTCGTACAGAGTGGCATAACGTAGTTTATCTCCGTATCGTTGGCATATCCTCTTCAGATTCCCCCCTCGGATGCCTGTGGGTGCCGTATGCATATAGAAGAACTGACTGCACTCCTTAAAGCTGTCAGAGACTGAGCCGCCTGCCAGACGCAAACCTGTCAATAGAAGGAGTCTGAGGAAAAAAACCTTACAAAGAGCCATCAGAGATTGAGAAGTTGAGGAGATATCAGCGTCTATGACAAAATTTCCAGTTTTTTATAGGCAAAGACACGCCGAACCATCTGTTCTTCCATGGTGTTCCTAGCCAGACTGATAACCTGAAAGAGTCACCATGCAAATCAGCACCTCTCTTAGCCTGCATGCGTAGGCCTATCTGATCACTACAACACTGTGAGGTTTAAAAACACAATAAATGATGAATGGATGAATGAATGATCAATCACAAATTCAGTTCATATAGGAAATGACAATCAGAGTAGACTAAGTCTATTAAAAAAAAGCAGACGAACAACTGACAGTTTTTGGATGTTTTGTCCTCCATCCTATAGCCTATTTATGACTATAACACCACATGGAACTTTTTTTTTATTACATTTACTCAAATAGCTAGACTACATCTAATACAAATAAAGCAAATAAATAAAAAGGTTTTGTTGTTCCTGTTGCACAATCCTACTCAGGGTTTACAAGAAATGCCAGGTAGTCCTTCACGTTTAAGTTTCGTTTTAGCGGTAATTCCTAGTTTCATTTCAAGTGTTTGGACCAAACCATTGAAAATGTGTTGCGGTTGCGTTTTTGCACAAGTTTAATGCGTAGAAACTTCGGTTAATTAGGAGAAAATTAAATTGTAAACAAACGTAAGTATTCTTAAAGCGCTTAAACTAGGGTATAAACGCTATTGGAAAATAGACTAGTTGCCTAAATGGTTTATTCTGGTGACTCACTCGCTTTTTTGCGATGCTATAAATTGTGTTAGAGCCCCCGCCGAGTCAACAGAAGATCTGGAGTGACGACTTTGAAACGAAGAGGGTTTCCTTCACTTGATAAGTGGATAGGCTGTAAGTAGTAGGCCTAATAATCGATAAGGATTGCTGGATCAGACTGTCTTTATTTGTGATTGTGAATTCATCATCGGCTAATAGAATCGTTCCCAAATGACAAAAGCCTAGAATTGGATAATCTGGTCACGATAATTCACGCGAGTGCTAAAAGATTAGCGGTCTGTTTGTTCAAGCTGTTTGATAAGTGGGCTACTGATTTATCCCTGGCGGTTAAGTTATATTTGTCGTTTAGTAAATTATTTTAGTGTAAAATGGTTTGCAAATAGAAATGTACCAAATCGTGAAGAAAGCTTTAAATCCCAAATACAATGTGAGATTATTTAATGTAGCTATAATGTATAATAACTGAAACCACCATTTTTATCACTCTACTGAATCATATACTTATATTTATAGCCTAATTGATTAATTCTGCATCAGATTTCTTCGTAGTCTCAATCAACTCGCAAGAAAAATGGACTGCCCGAGTGAGGATGAACTTGAAGTAAGGAACACTTTTTCTTTCATAAGGCAGATTTCTCTGCAAATAAAGTGATTTAGACAGAGTTGCAGACACTTATTTAGCATTAGTCAAATTTAGTCTTCGTGACAGACATTTTGCATTTTGTTTGCATCCCACTAATTAATGCTTGAAAATCTTTAAAATCAAGGAATTTGAAGATGCCAGTGAACACTTTGAAGACATAAAACAAACAGGAGCATGTGCTGTTGAGTCATATGGCAAGGAGGAGGATGTTTCTAAGTTACAACAAGGTAAGTGTTATATAGGCTATTATAATAGACCTTATCCAAAAATCTTAATCGACATAAATCTCTTCAGTTCAATTACAGTAAAAACAGTTGTTTTTGAATTTCTGCTGATGATACACTGCAAAAATATCTTTCCAAGTAATTTCAGTAGACAAAAAAAACTATTATTCGTTTTTATTAATAAGTTTATTAATAAGTTATCTAGTCATAGAGCTATAGCCTACAGCTTTTTACAGTGGATGCCATTGGAAACATGATTTGTCGATCCCTTACAGCCTTCCTTTCACGCCTTTCATGGCGATGCTCTGAATAAGTTTATTGTTTCTATAGTTTGTTTTAAATGTGAATTTATAGCCATTGTCTTGAAGTTGATCCAATTTTATGACTGAAATCAACATTTTCCTGTCTCTTTCCATAACGGTTCACTCGACATTGTGTCAGATCGCGGATGACTTGCATTAGGGCTGCAATGATTATTTTGATACGCGATTAATCCGTAGATAATTTTAATTAACAGAAATTCAAAAAATTATTATATATTCAAAAAAATAATAATTTTTAATAAAAAAATAATTTAATGCATTATTTTAAACAATGTCATTCCACATCCTGCCCATTGCTGTCTTCCAAAAAAACGTATAATATAAAGCCTATGAAAACAAATTGTCAGTGTCTGGTTTGTGTATCCCTGGGTAACCACTAGAGGTCCTCTTCCTCCATGGTGTCCTACTACATTTCCCATCATCCTTGTCTCATCATTGATCATCGCATGCAGCTGTGTCCGCTCACTTTAATAGTATCTGTGCATTACCCTGTCTGTTCAGTTCAGAGTCCTTGTTGAATGTGACATGCCGTGACACAAATATAGTTAATGTAGGCTGATTGAGTTCTATTTTAAAGCAGAAATTAAAACGACTCAAATAAAAATTATAATAGACAAAAAAAGTACAAAATGTTAAATTGAATGAGGAAAAAACACATTCACTCATCTGAACATAGAAGTTACATTAATGGGTTATACCAACAATAGTGCCTTTACTGTTCCTACTTTCATAAATATGATTATTTCTGTTACATGTATATTTATAAAACTTTCTAGAAAAAAATATTTTAGCTAATGATGATTTTGGTAATTGTGTAATATGTTGATTATTTTGATGACTAATCGAGTAATCAGAAAATAGACATAATCCTTTAAAATGACTTAAAATACATAAATGAAGCAATAATATTTGCTTCAAATAAAGTATCAAAAGAAAGTAATCATATGGTTCCATAGAACATCACTGTCAAAATACATAATACATATAATATAAACAATTCATATTGTATTAGCCTATAACAAATCCCTGCAACGGTCTGGTGTTATTACACTTTACAGGAGATCAAAGTACAGGAGATCTTGTTTAATTTTGGCCAAACGACATGTAATTGAATATTTATGATATAAATTCTACAGCCACTGTAATTTCTTGAAAAAGAATATGTGGACATCAAAACATAAAAATTCAGATGGTTTAAACTTTTATTTTGAAATCGCGATGAACAGTAGAAACACATTAGCCGCGTTTCCATCGCAATTACCAGGAACTATTTGTCCCAGGAACTTTTTTCACAGGAACTTTTTTCCCCGAGACCGCTTGCTTACTGCGTTTACTCCGCGTACTAAAGTACCGGTCCGGGGCGGGAAGATGACGTTGAACTGCATGCGACTGCTCTTCCTAGCCTGCGCGTTTGTTTTGAGTTTTATGGAGGAGTTTCAAGCTTTGCTGCTTTTTTGTGTGCGATTGGTTTACTAACGAGGTAATTAACAAAACGGCAGAAAGGAGACGAGCACCCAAAGTAGATTCAGAAAGCTCGTAGCCTCGTAATGCTAGATATAAAAGTAGATGTTTGTTATCAGCGGACATTGACCGTGAGATGGATGGGACGAACGCGCGCCATCGGGCAGAAATAATAGCGTGGTAAGAACCATCAGCATGTTCAGTGCACAAGTCCCACCCCGAAAGTTCCTGAACTCTGAAAAAGTACTACCTGATATATTCTCCTGTGTTGGCGTAGGTTTATAAATGATTCACCTTACAAATCTGATGCCTCTCTGGTGCATATTGCATTCCCAGATGAATGTTATAAGCAACCCAAATTCAGAGATGGAGTTTGAGACGCGCTCAGCCTTTGAGCAGCATTTGAACTCTGAGACGCATGTAACCTACACATGTAAATAAAGCACATATATTAAACCTGTGGGGCATATATGCTTATGTGAATTAACTATAGCACTATGCTATGATTTTTAAACCATTTTAATAAATTGTGCAGCCTTAGAAAATGTTTTAAAAAAGCGATTCATGGATTCTCGTCCATGGAATGCGCCACTTCCGATATTTTGCCGGTTACTCGACACAGGTATATTGCAATTGATGATTAAAAAAACATCAAGTTTAATCATGGAATCATGACAGCTGTTCTTTCTTGCATTTACAGATAGGATATAACCATAACATTTAAGTTGTGCTGAAGAAAACACTTCAAAGTTGGCTTCACGTCAAAGGCATTAAACGCGCATCTGTCAGCACGAGAGGGCAAACTGTGTTAAACACTTATGCTTTTAATTGAAGCTCTTATAAATATAAAGTATTCTCATTTTTCAAACAACTTGGACCATGTACCTTTCTGGCAGCAGCTCTCTCTGTGTCCTCTGCTATTTTCCATACGTTTTGTCCATAGAAATGGATTATTCACTACTGTAAAACGACGTAACTGGCAGATGGCTTCCAAGCAGAGCACGCAGACAAGACTAATTGATAATCAAATTCGTTGTCGATTATTTTCACCCCTGTGGCTATTTTGTGAGCTATCCCACGTTTTAAAAGAGCAAATTTTAGTGACGTTTGTTTCAAAAGGTTCTGCCATGAGTGTGGTACTTGCAGCACATTGCCTGCCCAGCCATGCCGAAGCCGTGCTTATTGAGATAGATCGCTCATTTTGAGAGCATGAGTCTCGCCTCGCTGCACTCGCGGATTTGCCTTCAAGGTAAATGACTCCACCCCTCACGCTCCCCCGTTCTCTTCCCCCTCATCTCACAAGCCTAAAAGGAAGAAGCAGCTGAGTTGCTGGGCTAAGGAAGCGGGCCAGAGTGAACTCATGTCAGCCTAGATCCCACATGCCTCACTCTCCCCACAGCAAGAGGATTCCCCGGTTCTCTTCATCTGCTAAGACCAGTGCCCCCTTTCTGGTGCGAGCAGCATGGTCTTGTTCCAACGAGTATGACAGCGATGACTTGCCCCTGGCTGCTTGAGGGAGTGGTCAATACCTGTGGAGGATTTCGCCACCCTGCTGCAGAGCAGGCCAGATGATTACCAACCTGATCTCATCCGACTCCTTTCCAAGCCTGTTGAGGTGCTGGGTTTGGACTGATCAGCTCTGGCTCATGCAGCGGTCTCAATTATTGATTCCTGCAGCCAGGTTGTTGCCAAGGGACCAGCTCAGTTCTCCTGGAAGTACACGACGAGCTAAGTCATGCCGTGCCCCCTATTTGGCTCATGTCCACTCATTAAGTTTTGTCCACCGTCACCTCTGTTGATGGCGTGGAGCAGAGGGGGTATGAGAACCCCACTGGAAGAGGCTGTCACTACGTACCTCTGTCCACCTTCGGCTCTCGGCTGAACGGCCCGATCGAGCTGCCCATCTCTCTAACCCCTGAAGAGCCACATCAACCCTGGCTGCAAGGCCTAACATGGCAGCCCGCCACCTTGAGTGCCAGCTTTGGCTTATCGGTTTGGCAGTGGACAGCTTTGCACAACACTTCACTGCGGTTTAAAAGGCGCTACATTTTCAAATAGTCAGTTCAAAATGCTGACCTTGAAACAAATCCCCTCAGATTTGCTCAGTGGATTTATATTTTATCAGTGGATCTAAAAAGTACATACTTTCATTTCCAGATAGCCTCTCAACACAGACTGTTCTTGAGGTTTGGGTTCATAGGAGTGGCTTCCCAGTTTTCCGTCCTTCCATTTGGACTGTCTCTTGCACCATTCACTTTCACGAAATGGATGCGGCACTCATCCCCCAAAGACAGAAGATGGTAGGCATCCTTATCTCAACCCTCAAGCTTCAGTATCAACCTGGTGAAAAACTTGCTGTCATTCAGCGAGTGAATATGTTTCCTTGTGCTTCTTCGACTCTGCCCAGATGTAGACCTGGCTGTTACCAGAGCACTCTTCGAAAATTCTGTGACTCAGGGAATCATTCAAATCTTGGTCCTGGCTCTGCAATTGTACTGATTGGGGGTGACTTTAGGGCTGGTTTCCTGGAGGAAAATGGTCACTGTAGATGCCTCCACTCTCCTGGTTGGAGTACTTTCCAGAGTCAATGTGTTTATTTTCACTGACTGCGGAACGGCTGCGTTCCAACTCCATCCCAGCTCCGGCGATCCGCAGCCCTCCGGAGCAGATACGCAGAGCTTCTGTATTTGCCGGATGCCAGAGAGCTCTGCAGCAATTCAGCGCAGGGAAGATTGTTATATTGCTCATGGGTCCTCGTGACTTCAGCTGTCAGTCATGGCTGCAGCCGTTCCGCAACAAATCCGGACCCGGTGGGTATTAAAGGACGGCAGAGCACTGAGCCGACACGCAGCAGAGCCGATCTGCAGCCGTTCCGTAGTTGATGGAAATCCAGGGATATGCTTCAGACTTGGGACCTGTCCACCATTCTGAGGGCCCTTTGGGGCTACAGTCAGCCAACTTGCTTAAAACCACCCTGTTGGTTAAGCAAGTTGGAGACCTGTAGGTGATTTAGGTTAGTTCATCCTGCCTCAAATTTAGGCTGAATGACTGTGAAGTCATCCTTAAACCGAGGAACGAGTATGTGCCTAAAGTTTCCTTAACTCCATTTAAAGTTCAGGCCCTTAGGGAATATATTGAGTGCTCCAGCCACTTCCGGCTCTCAGAGCAGCTTTTCAAATGATTCAGAGGCCACACCAAAGCTTCTGTTAACAAAGCAAAGACTGCCCCTATCAGAGTTAAGGCCCACTCCACCAGGGGAATGACCTCCTCCTGGTCTTGGTCGAGCAGGGGGTGTCTATTAGTGGCATCTACCTATGCCAGATTCTATACCTGGATGTCCCCACACAACAGGCGCAGATCCCGTCTGCTTGAGGGTTCGACTATGGTTTGCTGGTCGCCACCAACTTACATTGAAGTGCATCACACTCCCCTGGAGGGTGTTTCTTATCTATGGTACATATCTTGCCGACTTCCATTGCGGATTAACGCAATAATGATTAAGTTTTTTTCGCTGGACCAAGCACTACTTTCCAGTCCACTCACTTTGTTAATGCCGTTAAATTGGAGCTTCCATCCCTGGCCCAGGCACACAGTGCCTCTTTTCTGCCTTATGGGCTGGGAGATTCCTGCACTATCTCCTGGACTGTACTGAGTCCTGGACTGGAGATTCCAGTACAGTGTTGTTGGATTGCGTTCCCCATAGCTTCAGCTACTGACGAAATGTCGAGTGAACCGTTATATAACCATTTGGTTACTAATGTAACCGAGGTTGCATATTATTACAAAAGAAAAAAAAATCTCTTCTCATCTGAGATGCAGAGATAACGGTTTGAGCATTAGTGAATGCATATTTATGTTGATAAATAAATCACTACTGACAATACTTTATTAGTACTCTTTCCAGAAGTTGAAAATGTATGCTTCTTGTTTCCACAGATGTTCCTGCACCAAGCGAAATTCTAGTGCAGCTCATTGGGACCAGTTCTGTTACTCTTGCTTGGGATAGGCCAGACAATATATCTACATTTGAGTTGACCTACTATGATATCACCACTACAAAGACCTCTACTATCACAAATGACACAGCCATAGAGGTGGAAGATCTATGTCCAGGAACTGAATACACTTTCACCCTTGTTTCAATATCTGATAATGAAAAACGAAGTGTGGGAGTGGAAGTGACTGCATGCACCAGTAATTATCTTTCTGTTTATCCATGTAGAATGAATCTAGAATTGTATAACAATGTGTATTTGAAATTGAAAAAGAACTAACAACAAATGTTTTCATGATTGCAGGGCCAGTCCCACCTGAAAACTTCAAGGTTGAGAGTGTGGGCACAACATCAGTTACTCTTATTTGGGATGCATCTGGCTGTGAGGAGAACAAGTTTCATGTTGTTTGCAGCCACAATGGAAAAATCATTCAGGAAGAGATAAAAGAATCAAGACCTGTGGTTTTCCATGACCTAATTCCTGGAAAGAAGTACTCTTTTCACCTTACAAAAGTTCTTTCAAATGATAACAGAAGCAAAGAAGCCGTCACATATGCTCAAACCAGTTAGTATAATGTAGAAAACCTCCCTACAAACATTTACATGCCTCATTTTATTTGATTCATTTTTTTAAATTGTGAAATGAGTAGAAAATATTGATGAAATGCTTGTTTTTTTAACAGAAACAAACATCCAGAGCCTTTTACATGATTTGGGGTTGGAGCAGTACTACCCGAACAAACTCTCACTCAGCAATGTGCTACAGATTGACAAAAGGTCAGTCACAGATGAGCCAGCCCAGTCTCTGTCGTCTTTGCCATGGCTGTTCCTGAAGAAACTGATGATGGTGAATGTGACTACAAGAAGTGTCAAATATTCATCAGATGAGATTGAGGATTTGCAAAGCTTAGATTTCGACAATGACACTTTCGATTTTCTGAGTGATCGGCATAGCAGCGTAAACCCTTTAGATATAGTGACTGCTCTGTTGCTTTGTGCAGATGGTTTTCTCCAACAGGAGATGGTCTCTAAAATGTCAATGTGTCAGTTCTCTGTTCCTTTACTTCTTCCAAAGTGTGACACACAACAGTGCATGTACATGCTTTGGGCCATGAGAGATATTGTGAAAAAATATAGACCTCATTCTTTGTCAGACTCAAAAGGTTTTGTGGAGGACCGAATTGTTCACTCCGAGTTCCCCCTAGTGTCCTTTGTTAGACTTGGTGACTGCAGCATTTCTAAATCGCAGATCCTAAATAAATTGCTCAGCAATCCCCAACAATATCATGACACTTTTGTACATCATGACATGGACTGCGGAGACATCCCAAGAAAGATATCAAATGGATTGGTGGAGATGGGTTGGTATTTACCTTGTGGAAACAAAAACATTGATGTTTTTCCTGAACCTGTGGCTGTTGCAAACTTGAGAGGCGACATCAGGACCTTTGAAGCACAGTACTCTTTCTTATGCCAGACCTCCACTGCAGTTTTTGTGTTCTTTGACAATCTGGACACAAACTACAAGTTACTCACCAACCAACATGCTAAAGCACAGTTTTTTTTAGTGGGCAATGTGCAAAATAAAACATTTGATTTGGAGCAGCTGAAAAGGACGGCCAATGAAATGAGTTTGAAGAAAAACAACATCATTCTGAAGAACAATCAAAATGATGCAAATTTTGTCAAAAATCTGCATTCTGTAGTAAATCACATAATTAATAATCATGGCAAAAAAGCTTGCCTGGAGGTAATGGACACTGTAGCACATGAACTCGGAATTCATGTTGATGAAGACATTCAAGATTGTCAGAAAGCAAAAGATAATGCACATGTCTTGACGACAAATATACAGGAAACGCTGCAGTTCAAGAATGATCAGCTTCCCCTTCAAGGCCAAATCTGGAAAGATTTAGCAAAACTGGAAAAAGAGGAATGCAGACTCCGGAAAGCTGGTAATCAAAACATAGAGACCTACAAGAGTGATCTCCAGATTAAAAAGATGGAACTCAGGAAACAACAAAGTAAATATGACATCTCCGAGGCAATGTCCTGCTTTGTTAGTGCACTAAGTTCTAGCCAGGAGAGGCCCTACTTCTTAAAGTGGATGCGGATGAACCTTGACAATCTCTCCCGAAAAAGCCTCTCAAGCCTTCGAGAGCAGTACAAAGAAAAGTGTCAGAAATTTTCAGAAAACAAAGAGGAAATCGCACAGCTTGACCAAGAGATCTCTAACAGTTCTTTAGGAATAGAGCACTTTCTGCGGGAAATGGGACAACTCTATGAAGCCGCGGTGTCACTTCCAGAAAACGTAGAATCACGTAAACAAATGCTACACTTACCTCGGCTGTGTGCTGAGCTGATGTTGGATGGCTTCCCTCTGGAACTGGTTGATGGAGATGCATCAAATATTCCTCTCAGATGGGTGAGTGATGTGCTTCTGTATCTGAACTCTTCGGTGCAGCCCAACAATAAAATCATGGTGGTCACAGTTTTAGGAGTCCAGAGCACAGGGAAGTCCACCTTGCTGAACACCATGTTTGGAGTTCAGTTTGCCGTCAGCAGTGGAAGATGCACCAGAGGAGCTTTTATGCAGATGATCAAAGTCACAGAGGACATCAAGAAAGAGCTTGGTTGCGATTATTTAGTGATAATTGACACTGAAGGTCTAAAATCACCTGAACTGGCAAAACTAGATGACAGTCATGAACATGACAATGAATTAGCCACACTTGTTGTTGGATTGAGTGATATCACAATCATCAACATCGCAATGGAGAATTCCACAGAGATGAAGGACATTTTGCAGATTGTGGTCCATGCTTTCATCCGAATGAAGGAAATAGGTAAAAAACCCAAGTGTCTGTTCGTCCACCAAAATGTTGCTGATGTATCAGCCCATGACAAGAACATGAGAGATCGAAAGCTTCTGCTGGAGCAGCTGAATGAGATGACGGAAGCGGCAGCTAAAATGGAGAACAAGGAGGAGTACAAAAAGTTCAGTGATGTAATTGATTATGATCCAGAGACTTGCAACTGGTATATCCCTGGACTCTGGCATGGAAATCCTCCAATGGCACCAGTGAACGCTGGCTACTCCGAGGCTGTCTATGACCTTAAAAAGAACATGATGGAAGTAATTGGAAAATGCAAAAACAAAGCATCTGGAAACAACATAACAGATTTTTTGGAGTGGACAAAAAGCTTATGGAATGCAGTCAAATATGAAAACTTCATATTTAGCTTTAGGAACAGCTTGGTGGCTGATGCTTACATGAGACTGTGCACAGAATTCCACAAATGGGAATGGTCTTTCAGGAAGCATATGCACTCTTGGGCAACTCAAGCTGAAACCAGAGTGTCAAATTTTGAGACATTCAAGCTGAAATCCGACAAATCAGATCTGAAAGATCTTTTATGCAAACTGAAACAAGAAGCTGTCACAAAGCTTGACACCTTGGAAAAGACCACAATGGAAAATCTGTCCAAATACTTTGAACAAACAGAAGGTCATGTCTATCTTGTGGAAAAGTACAAAGAAGACTTTGTGAGCAGCGTAAAAAGTCTCAGGAGGGAAACCGAGAGCTCTTTGCTGACGCAGCTCGAGACAACAGTGGACATTAGGAGAGGAATGAATAATCTGGACAACATTAAGAAAACATTCACTGATACAATGGAGAAAAAAGTGCTGGCTCTACTGGAGAAGTTACGCAAAAACAGCAGCTCAAAGAGGGATGCACATACGACTGACAACGAGCTTGACCGATTCTTTGAACAAATATGGCAAGACACCATAAGTGAGCTGTCATTTACTGGAATGAAGAAAAAAAAAATTTCAGATTTTGTTTTCAAGCAACTTCGAGAAAACATGAAACAGAGAGGTGGTTCTGTTTCACAGAAATTAACATCGGTCAATCTGAACAATTGTGGCACGGGGGTGTTCAAAGTTGCCAACGTTGAGAACTTCTTCAAAAAAATGATCAAACATGTGTTCAATTACAACTATACAGTGGACCTGCAAAATTTTGCAGATCATATCATTCAGACATGCACTCAGTTTGTCCTCGACACAACTTCACAGCATTTGGATTACCATGACAACTACATTCAGGAGATCCTACACATAATTGATGATGGATTAATGTCCAACAAGAATATGGGGTTTTCGGAAGACTTTGAACTGTCCCTGAAACTGCACATTTGTGGGTTTTCTGCAAGAAAATTTCAAGAAATGCACGAGTGTTTCATCAAGGAGAATGACCCACGTAGATGCCTTGATCAGTACAAAGACAAATATCGCAATGATTTCAAGGACCTGTTCCATGCCCGTGACCAGTGTCAGAGAAAGGCAGAAGAATTCACCAAACTGTGCTTGATGCCTGCAGTCGAGGCATTCATCTACAGCTCCTTGGGTCCAGATGTCGTTGACAAAATGCTTCAGGGGAAAAATGCATTTCAGTTCAGCACTCGAGGATTTTTTCAGTACACGCTCTTAAAGGAACTTGTAAATGAAGATAAGTTTGAACAGTTTGTAACATACATCAGTAAATATGAGCATTTTGTTAAGGGCTGGATATTAGATCAAATCACCAAACAGTTTTCAAACGAACATGAAGTGTTTGAGTTGGAGGAACATCACCTTAGAGGAATCACCAAGGAGATATTAGAAGCGGTCAAAATGGCACAGAATGGGAAATATGAAGATGGCATCAAAGGATTCATACATTGCGTATGCAAGAAGCTTGAACAAAAGCTAATAATTCCCAAAGATGCTCTAGAAACAGTGATGGTCCTAAACAATGCATCTCAAGAGCCATTTGCTGACTGGCTAACCAAATCTGTAGAGGAGATGGAACAGACACTGAAGGAACAACTGAAGAAAGTCGACATACAGGATAAACTCAACAAACTCAAGATTAAACCCCAGGATGAGCTCTTCAAGAGAGTGTTTGGATGTGGGAAACAGTGTCCATTCTGCAGTGCTCCATGTGAGGCTGGTGGAGAAGCTCATACTGACCACTGTGCTTCAGTTCACAGACCACAGGGACTTGGTCGATACAGATATCAAAACAATGAAAAATTAGTGGCTGACATCTGCTCAACAAATGTCCACAGTGAAGTAAGTTTTAGGTGTTTCCAGACTAAATATAATTTCCATCCTTACAAAAGATACAGAGAGATCTTTCCTGACTGGCACATCCCAGCGGATGCTAGCATACAGGCCTCAGATTACTGGAAATATGTGATGGCCCGGTTTAACGACAAGTTTGCTGAAGAGTACAATGCTCGCCCTGCTGATGTACCCTTGATGTGGAAATCTATCACAAAGCAACAAGCAGAGGAGAGTTTAAAAGAGTCTTTCAGCATCAAATGAACAATTGTTCCATTTCACAACCATAAAGTCAGCATTTTGGAAATGCTCTCACTCAAAATAAATACAAAATATACACTGATAACATATGACCATCACCAAAATACATGACTGCTTAGTGATCGAATAACACTATTGATTGCTTGCAAAAGGTTTCAGCTGACTTCCAGTAACCAGTAACCTTGGGAATGGGAATATGGGTGAATCATTTAAAAGGTAAAATACAGTTTGACTAAGTGAAAGAATGATAAATGAGACGTGCAACAACATGGTGAAATGTTTTTTGTTCTTCTTGTGTGTAATTGTACTGTTTATTTGATTACATATTTTCTTTTTTGTTGCCAAAATATCATATTTTAATCCTTTATATCTTTATGGTTATATTCTACAACAAATATATACTTAATGAAAACTTTTATGTGAAGAATTCTAAAACAATTAAACAATTATTGTTTTAAATATTTAGGTATTGATAATGATGTATTGTGGTTTTAATGTCTTACCTAATGTAATCAATTAAACAAACCTCTGCTTTGGAATAAAGTGATTTCTAAATAAATAACTGCAAATGTGAAAACTTCTTCCTACTCCCTTTCAGACATGTTTATGTTGCTAAATGTTACTTATTGTTATTCAACTTAGCAACAATTTTTGTTAGGTTTATTTTTTGATATGTCTGAAATAAAATTCATTCATTCATTAATTCTGTCATTCTTCATTCAAATGCAAATGTGTTTTATCAAATGCAGCCTACCGTAGAGCTACACGATTGTTAAAATATATTGATGTTTTTACTCCCAACTGACATTTTCTGTAAAGATGCTTTGAAACAATATGTATTGTAAAAAGTTTCATTCAAATAAACCTGAATTGAAATGACAATGATTTAGCTAATCTAGTCACCCTTTGGTCCTGTTTACACCTGCAATTAAGATGCGTTTTGGTCAATTGGATCACAAGTGGACAATGCTAAGTACAGGTGTAAAGGGGCTCTAAAACATTTTGAGATTCACTACTTTCTACCACTTCCAGAGGTCCTCAAAAACACATTCGACCAGATTGCTTTTGCGGTGTAAATGCTCATGTGGTCGAACAGTCACTAAAGACAGTCTTCTCTCTGTCTACTGACCTCATGCGTAAAATGATAAGACACGGCTAAACTTTCTTTGCTGGAGACCCAAGTTTGGTTTGAAGATGAAAAACGCACCAAGCAAAATGTTCTCTCAACATTCCTTATTTCTAACACTCGTCATTTCTAACACCTGTGGCAAGTGTATTTTTCCAATTGTTTTAAATGGGAGCGTTGCATTTTTTAAAGTCCCAGGAGCATAACAAGGTGCTGAGCGCTCAGGTCAGAACGTTCAACTTTGGGTTCAACACAGCGCTTATCACTGTCCAATCACAGTGAAGGAGGGGCGGGACAAATACCACACCGACCAACCGCCACATTCTGCTTGTACAATGTCAACAGATTACAATAACATAATAAAGGAACAAAATTATTTAAAACAATAGCCAGAGCAAATACTTTACATGTTATCGACATTTCTATATAGAAACAATACAAAATATGTGAAATGAGACACTAGTAACACTTCCTTAGTTAATGGGTATTCCATATCATAGCAAGCAAAACGTCTCAACTGAAAACTCCTCGGATTTCAGTAGTGTGTGCCGTCCCCGAACCGTACCACTCTCATCCCCCTCTGTTTCCAGACCCCTGGCAGAGCAGGCCCCCGTGAAACGCTGGTCCTTCCCTAGCCAATGGGGATACCAACATCCCCATTGGCTTTGGCTTTATTGCAATCAATAAAACTGGTTAATTGACAAGTTATAAATGTAATAACTGCATTACAATATAAATACAACATTAAAAAGTCAACCATTGGTGGTATGTTTTGACGTACCGCTCACTGGAAATGGCCAAGCTGGCTTATCGAAAACCAGGAAGTAACCGTGCATATGATCAACTCATTAATTTTTTTTAAATAAAATGTAATGAGATAAAACTAAAGGTATCTATACCTGCGGCTCATACATCCAGGGTGTGTCCATCCTCCTCTGTCCATCTGACTTTTTAAAGGTGTACGCTGAATAAAGTGCCAGCATAACGTAGTTTATCTCCGTAGCGTTGGCATATCCTCTTCAGACTCCCCCCTCGGATGCCTGTGGGTGCCGTATGCATATACATAGTTCCCACAGGCAAAAAAATTGTCACGTGACCTCCCCGGAGACGCCATCTTTGAGGGCAAAACCGCTGTGTTTACCATAGGCGTTTACAACGTTTTATCAGAGAATGTCGTTTTACAAACAAATATTTATGTCTGTTTATATTGTTATGCAAATCATGAAAAGACAAAGTGTAATAGATTATAAAGAGGCTATTAAAACAAGACATAGAGAGGTACAATGCGAAAATTTCATTCATAAATGGTGTGTATCCTTATGCAACAAAAGAAGCACTGAGCACCGATTATGCAACTTTGCCTCAGATACAGTATTTTCATGTGTACAATTATCTGGTATTGGTGAGGAGTTTTTACACATGTGAGCAATTCCAAGCCTGGAAATCACTGGAGGTGTACGATCAGATTGACGTGGGGTTGGTTTGGTGACGTTTGCTCAAGTGCAATCAATGGAAAAGTAACTTAAGTCATCATAGCGAAGTAGCATGATGCTAATCTGTCTATTAAAAAGCCATAGCCTGCACAACTTAATTCCTATGTTCCCCAGTCACCGGTGATTTCTGTAATATGCATGTACTTGCGGGCGTCATGGTTCGGTGCATGAATATTAAAATAAATAACTCGCGTGCAATTTAATTAATGTAATAAATGAGGAACTACATTATACGCGGGATCTTTAGGGACATAATCTGAGATTGCAATGCTGGAATGTGAGATCAAACAGTGGAAACAATGTTGTTTTGTATGTTTTTAATACCTCGTCATTTTGTTCATACAGGACATTATTCAAACTGCAACGTGTTAACTTATATTTATTTACACTCGCAATAAAACACAACATTGTGCTTTTGTCAAACAAATTCGTGCGTGTTTTGAGTGAGTTTCTTTCCTGTTTATGCTCGCCAGCCATAATCTCCATCGTTGTTCGGACAAAAGCTTAGTCTTCTCACATCCATATGGAGTCTAATGACGGGTATAGTGTAAAATCCCGATTTAACTGAACCTCCGGCACGATTTTATCATCCATTGACTCAGCAGGAGATGACCATTTTCACTTTATAGCACGAAACTCATTTCACTTCGTTCAACTCGTATTGCTTCTTCTTATGTTTTGCCCTCAGCAATGGCGCCGGGTCGGCAAATGCCCGTATGTTGTGACGTCATGTGGGAACTATGTATAGAAGAACTGACTGCACTCCTTAAAGTAACAGTCCGACTTTTTGGGACTTTAGCCTATTCACCTTACCCCCCAGAGTTAGATAAGTCCATACATACCTTTTTCATCTCCGTGCGTGCTATAAGTCTGTTTGACGCACCCACCGCTAGCCTAGCTTAGCACAAAGACTGGATGTGAATGGTTGCAGCTTTCATACTAATCCAAATGAGTGGCAAAATAACGCAAACGTTTTCCTATTTACATGTTGTGATTTGTATAGTCACATAATGTACAAATAACAAAGTCAAATGAGACACAGACATCTTTTAACCGTATAAAACCTGGGAACTATTCTCTGAAGGCGAAGCACTGCTACGTTGACGGAGTGATAACCGCATCACCTGAGACACGCCGTGGTGAGGAGCGGAGAGTTCGCTCAGAGTTTGGGTAACAGAGTCAGCAATTTATAAATAGTAAAAGCGTAGTTTAGAGTCATGGGTTTTCGCTCTATTGTAAATAGCTGCGACTGTAAACATCCAGTCTTTGTGCTAAGCTAGGCTAGCGGTGGGTGTGCGTCAAACAGACTTATAGCACACACGGAGATGAAAAAGGTATGTATGGACTTATCTAACTCTGGGGGGTAAGGTGAATAGGCTAAAGTCCCAAAAAGTCGGAGTGTTCCTTTAAAGCTGTCAGAGACTGAGCCGCCTGCCAGACGCAAACCTGTCAATAGAAGGAGTCTGAAGATAAAAACCTTACAAAGAGCCATCAGAGATTGAGAAGTTGAGGAGATATCAGCGTCTATGACAAAATTTCCAGTTTTTTATAGGCAAAGACACGCCGAACCATCTATTCGTCCATGGTGTCCCTAGCCCAAGGTTATAATCGTTAACGAAAACTAACGAAAAAACGAAAACTAGATGGGAAAAAACATTGTCGTTAACTGAAATAAAAATAAAAACGAGCCATTACAAAAAAACTATAACTAACTAAAACTGTAATGTGTGTTTGCAAAACTAACTAAAATAAAATAAAATTATAGAGCAAATGTCCTTAGTTTTCGTCTTTAACACTATTTAAAACACGCAGTGTATTCGTTGCATTTCATTTCCCTGTAAAGGCCAATTTATACTTCTGCGTCGAGGGTACGCCGTAGTGTACGGCGTTGGCTTCGCACGTAGGCGACGCCGTTGTGAGCATTTATACTTCTGCGTTCAGGTATTGGTTGCTCTGCAGTACTGCTCCGAAACGCTAGGAGGCGGCGGAGGGTTTTAATGTTCCACTGTGTTTAGATTCCTCACGGCTTGGTTACTACAAGCAATAGCGACTGAAAGAGAGTGGATCATGTTGGAGTTGGAGCTTATTGGGGTGGAAAAACAGTTCATTTTAGTGAAATTACTTAAACTGAAAGGCAGAAATGAGAGAAGACGTCGGAGGAGATGGTACGTGTGGAAATGCGTGAGAAGGTACGTGCGGAAATGCGTATGAGGAAATACGATGCTACCAAGCCGACCAATCACCGATCTTGCGGTCCGCGTCGTCGCGACGTGTAGTTACATTTTTGAAGAGGTGCGCGTCAGGCAACGCGGAAGGGTACGCGGTATGGGACGCGTCTGTGCGTATGCTACGCCGTACCTACTGCGCGCACCCTACGCAGAAGTATAAATTGGCCTTAACGCTCTCTCCCTCCGTCTCTCTCAAATGCACGCACACACACACAGCCCCTCCCCTCCGTGCAATGCACACCGCGTCTCTATGAAAACGAGGGTTCGATCAATGTTAAAAGCAAGTTCGCGAAAGGTTGGTATCTCATGATGAACATTTTACACAATCACACATTAAAAGGTGGTGTAAAAATATGTTAAATTCTTAATACAATTCTGTAAGTGTGTTAATGTCAACCCGAGAAGCGATTGAGCCTTCGTTAGAAAGTTACTGACTTAGTTGCAATTTTGAGGTAAAATGCTGCTGGGCAGTGGGCATGGCCGTGGCTAACCAGTCCGGACCTCGGCCATTTTTTTTTTTACATTCAAAAATGGAATGGCATGATTGAATGATTATGTGAATGATTAATTAGCCATGTTTAGACCACCTGTGTGTTTGCAATTCATGTTGCAGCGAGAAGCTAGCGCAGTGAACGGGGCTTGAGAACGCATTGTGAATGAGGGCGCTAGTGTAGCCTCTGTGTTGCCAGATCCACCAAATCGAATGGTGCGGTAATCTTCTGGACCTGTTTTTCGGATTTTTTGTGACACTTTAGGAAGTTATTATAGTGGAAAGTTGCATGTTAGTGTTAGTGATATATTAATCTTATTTCCAAAACACAAGCTTTGAAGTAATTTCGAATTGTTATTATATTATTTGCTTTTTTTTCGTAGCAATATCTGGCAACATTTTACTGTCTGCGTTAATAAAAAAAGCTTATAGACAAACTGCAATTGCATAAGGCAACCACACCAAACGCAATGATCATTGTGATTATCTGTAAAAACAATAGCATAATACAGATCTGTATGTTACAGAATAAAATTTGCCAAAAT